CAAACCACGACCAAGTAACAGCTTTTTTGACAGTGGGGTAAACTTTGGATAACTATTACACTGCCGTTTCCAGTATTACTATAGTAAAACCATTGTGTTTGTTGTGTTTAATAAATTTTTGTTAGTTTCTTTTATTTGCAAATAAGGTTCAAATTATAGGCGCAATTTTATGAAATTGCCATGATAAATGAAATCCCTTAAAGTACCATGGAATTTGTCAAAAAATGCAAATGCCAACCAAAAAACTCTTCTTTGTAATAAATGCAATTCTAAGGTGCATATTAATTGCAATGAAATCTCTGTTTTGGATTGTGAGAAATACTGCATGACCAGTCTAATGGTGTTCCATGGTTCTGCAAATACTGCATAATAGATAATCATGCTTCGATGTTTCCTTTTGGTACAGTTGACAATGAGATGTTATCAAATCTTTTTTACTATGATTTTCTTTCATTTGTGGCCATCATTTGAAATCACCTCATATCTTGCCAACTTGCCTAATCTACAGGACTATGATGTTGATGAGCATTTGCCTTCTACGATTAACTCTAACTACCACACTATTCAAAATCTTTCTAATTCTGACATCTCTCAAAGAGATTTTGTTTTTTACTACATATGAACGTAAGCTCCACTTCTTCTCTTCCATCTACCAGTTCTAGAACTTACAGCCATCTAGAATTAGCAGTTATACTCAAACTTTGATAATGTTCTATCAATAGAATCTTTCTTCATAGTTAATCGAACTCCAAAATCTTGTTTTTCAGCCAAGAGGGTGCTCTCTTCTCGATTAGTTTACCTTCCTTCTTTAAGAAACTCTTTCCATACAAACTTTCCTAAATCCTAATACTTTGTAGTTTTTCTTGTTTTCATCTACTTATTGTACTTCAATTTTAATTGTATTTTCCACATCCTTCTCATTTAATTGTTTATATTAATATTTATGTTTAATTTACTTGTATGTAGTGGAATTTTAAAATGAAAATTGAACTGAACTGTGTCAAACTTTTTGTCTGTTTTTGTGGGTAAGTTTGGTTGTTTTCTCCATGTGAAATTACATAACGGGAAGGCCTTTTTCTTCAGGGATGTTACATTGTTCGCGAACAAGGAGCTAAATGCGTTTGCTATCTTGCTTGGGTCTCTTACATTATCGCCGTTAATTTCGAAAGAAGGAGAACTTTGTTTGTCTCTCGACTTGGTGGGGTAAATTGATTCTAACGTGTCATGTGAGAGACATCATGTCATAACATGTAAGAAACACGCTGAAACGACAGATAAAAAAATAGCTGATAACTAGTCCCTTTTAAACTCACATATGACTGACCCTGTAGTTCATTTACAGAACTACGAGAATGATTGTAATGAATCTAAAAATAAATTTCAACTTAAATTAGTACATTTAGCCATTCCAGCCAATATCTTTGATCTATTCGTGATTTCGCTATATTTGCAGTGAAAGTTTATATTTGGCGAGTAACGCTGTGCAATATGAATACAATCGCTGTCATTTCAAAAACAGCGAGGGCAAATTAGTATAGCATGGCTTGGGCTTTCGACATCTGTCATTTTGAAGTCTCTTTCGCGTAATTCGCTCATCAAATCAACCTTTGCTGTATATTTCTGTGCAAAAGGATATGCTTAAGTGGTTTTGCCGCGTAAATTTGAAACGACAAACAGCTGGTCTTGAAGATTGGGCTTTAATAATTCAGTTAATTTTACCTTATCCAATAGATTAAGAACTGACTTAGTTCCATACTTTGATGACTTATGTCATATTTTACGCTAGAATCGAGAGGATTTGACCGTATTACTCTGAGTCGATTTTCAAAGAACCTAAGAAGACACTCGGGCAAGATGTTTTCCTGATTTTCGCTCAAGTATTTCAAAAACCTTTGATGCATTAGTGCTACCAGAATCTTCAATCTGGATTCCATGAAAACCGTTTACCCCAAAGATGAAGTCAATGTCTATAGCCTCGTAAGCAAAGAAGTACATAGTTGCATTGCACTGACTATGCATTGGGGACGAAAGAGATAACGAGTTCCCAATGCGAGGCTGAATGGCTATGACAACAATGGCTATGACAACAATTGCAGGTCGACGATAATAAGTTTGAAAATAAGCAAAAAATTAAGTATCCTTGAAGCATATGATGAATAACGAGGACCTCAACACGAAATAAGCAAACAGAAATTTTAATTGGATGGTTGCGAATACTTTAGGTCCGGACCGTAGACAGGTGCTCAACAGAGGCAAATAGGGCTGTTTCCGCAAGCTCTATGTTCACATGTTGTCTACATAAAAAGAATATTTTGTTGATATTAAAAGTAAAATTCAGTTAAAATCGCCAAAATGCCGCAGTAATGAAGTACCTCAAGACCGCAGCCCACTTCTGATTCATGTCCTTTGCAGCCCAACTTTTTAGAATCTCCACTTTCTATTACATTATAACAAACATCATCATTGTGAAGAATGTCAATTTGTAATAGATCCATACATAACAAACGCTTCTCTCTAATCAAAAGCTACCTAGCTGATTTCCTAAACGACCCATCTTTACCAAGAATCTAAAACATTTGATGTTGTCATTACCTTAGATATTAAATTATGTTTCTTTCTATTGTTAGATTCTAAACATTGCAGCATTCAAATCATTTTAAATTTCATGAAATCGAATAACCAAAATTTCCTAGAAGTTTTTTAATTTATTTGCAAAGCAAAAAAATTACAGCAGGGTTTGTTCCACAATACGATTTTTCTGCGCAACTCAACTTTAAAACAATAAGAAAGCAACCCACCAAACATGTTCCTAAACGACATACTTATTGAACAAACAAGTGGTGCATCTGTATAACAGTCACTTTGTATGGAGAAAGCGTAATCGGTTTCAGAACTTCCATTTTATGAAGAATGCACCTCATTACGAAACGTTTTATGCACAAATTGCTTTTTAATACACTGCTGTGTTTCTTTCCCTTGAACTTGTTGTGCTAGTTTAAATCAGGCAAATTTCGATAAATTCTTGGGTTTGTGAAGGTGTGGATGGATAACTTACAATAATGTTATTTGACAATATGCACAAAGAAGAAGATTTTGCCCTTAGGCCTCGTTTAGTTAAACGTCAAAAATTTTGCTCTTAATTTTTGAGTTGCATTTTTGTGCCCAGTTTCTTTCCTTAAATAAGACGATTGTCCTGTCAATCCCCTGTAAGTTTCTCTGCTAGAGCATGCAGCATTCTGACTGCAAAGTACATTCGGTTTTAACAAAAGTCCTGCTAGCTATCTTCAATTGATTGGCCTGTTTAACGATTGCTGCGTCATCAAAAACAGACAATGTCATGCTACAGACCGTCCTCCTGATTGCTAGGCAACAATTTAGTTGTGAAATGCTTTGAGACTTCTTAGAACATGTGCATAATTATAGTTGCAATCTAACTTAGTTCTCAAATCTGTGTTATTTGTTTTCAAGCACTGTTTTCTCTAAACACACGTGCTTGATAGAAAAAATGTAATCAAGAAGTGTAGTCTTGGTAAAAGCGCCATGTATTTACGTTTTGGTTGAAGCTCGAAGACGTCATTTGAAAAAGAGACAATTTCATAATGTTTCACGGATGCGTGCTTTCCAAGAGAATTATCATGTATAGGTGGATGAGAGCTTTTGTTCATCTCAAAATCTTCAAACCTTTCAGCAAATTTAAATCTAGCTCACTTGAACTTTTCGGCCTTCATTCTTAAAAGTATGAGCAGTTTGGTATTCTTATTAACATACCCTTATGTCGTCTGATTAGATTTTGACTAAAGACATTGCATAGCAAATTGACTCTAGCGATATCAAAACAATTTTACAGTCTGTTCATATCATCAAAGGTACTTTATGATGATGATTATAGAGTCTCGAGCGGCAAAAACTAAGTATCTGCTTCTAACAAGAAATGATAGAAATTTGACTTTTGTCAAGAAATAAAGTCAATCGGCCGCTTCCTTTGTCGTTTGAATCGGCACTTTTTACCACAAAATTTTGTTGCGAAACTTTTGACGGCAATTTGATTTTCGATAGCTTTATCAGCACAGGAAAGCAATCAAAATTGACAATGATGTTCTTGACTGACGCCAGTGCGAACTAATGACACGATTTCATACTCACCTTCTAGCTATTTTGGCTTATTTCTGCAGATATCAGGTAGATGACCCGAAAATTTTCTTGAGGCCATAAATCTTTTATGCCATCGATGAATTGCTTCACAGTAATGCGTACACTCATGGCTGGATCAATGCGCGATTCTTATCAGGTATTGCAATGATAAGATACATACGCAAAAGCACAAACTCTTATTTTGGGTGATAATTTTCAAGTCAATAGTGCAGGAATGTCAACATTAATCTAATGATGTTATATAAACAAAAGAAAGTTGGAATGTCCTTCAAGGCACAACAAGTTTATTTTTTCAATATAAGTTCAAAGTTAATTAAATCTTTGTATGATATCATCTATATTTTGTAACCATTTTTACATTGATGCAAACGAAACCATTTCAAGGCTTAAAATTTGGGCTTATTTGATAAAAATCCCATTGTCTGGTATGCAAGAGAAAGACCTACATGTTTTATTAAACATGATAAATTTTTATCAGCATTACTTTTGCTCATGAAATACTCCTTTATTGATTAAAATTCAGTTAACCATAGAATCGAGCTATTTTACAATGATATGAGTATCAAAATTTATTTTGATCAGTTCTATATGTTTGTTATGGCATAGAGCAAAGTGGATGTTAGGATCCTATTCACAACTGCCTAAATTGTAAAGTGGAGATTCTAACAGAAATACAATATTGAGCGCCTTATTGAGATGATCTGATTTAGAATGTTTTAACTGCTCCCTGAACTCTTCAACGACTATTTAATTACGACCATGTGCAGGTTACAGATACCACCTGTTTAATCAAACACGCACCCATTACTTTTGCTCAATCCGATTGGCTCTTACACGCCTTTGTTGTGTAACAATGGTAAGTGAAGTGATGTTTGGTCACTGCTAGCTTTAGCCTGCATTTTTTAAGTGTCTAGGTGATATGCAGATCGTCAGCTCATGCAAGATCAACACAAATCTGAGTTAACTACATTTTGTCAACCGTTATTTATTTGAACTCAGAAAGTATTATGCTTTCGAATGCACTAATTTTCAGAAGCCTTAACGAGTGATTATACTAAGCCATGATTGGGTTTGTAACTTGCCTCCACACTGTTCTTTTCTTGGTTATTATACGCGAATGTTGCAGTCACGTTGTGGAGTTTGCAGGCAAGGAGCGAATTACTGTGGACCTCACTGAAAGAAAAATCAACGATGAAAACACTCGCATTACATTCCGATTTAAAACAATCAATGCATTTGGGATAATCATATATAGCAAAGGCACACAGGGAGATTACTTGGCTATCGAGCTCGTGCAGGGGATGTTGCGGTAAGTGAGTCCGTAATAGCACCAATTTTGTTCCTCCCTTTTTAACATACATTAACCATCGATTGTAGCAAGTCGTTGGATAAGATAATTTATGAATGCAGAAGGGGGTATGTCGTGGTGCGGAATGATCGAGTAAGAAAAATACGTCACAATTTGTCTTCTACAATCAAACATCTAAAAATAACTTACAAACGACTCTCTTGTTTCGTTTGTAAGTTATTTTTTTCTTGATATCATTCATATCATTCTTGAAAATAAATTACTGCTCCAGCTTACCTTACCGTCCTTAACCTAAGTTCAAATGACATACTTTACATTTTGATAAGGCGGTTTCAAACAAAAAACCCGGCCATGCACAACAGAAGAGATGATATGAAGATTTTCGGATCATAGAATCAAGCCAAATTTTCGATCATTCCAATGACACTTTCTTTCGCTTTGATTCAAAAAACATGGGCAAGTAATTCCCCGATAAACCTCCTGATGTATTTCTAGCCTTGAAAATCCTTGTTCTTCTGCTCCTCATTAAATTGAGGTTTCATGGTTTTCTAATATATTTGAAATTAATTTCGCTACCTGTTGACTGATAATGCGCGGTTATATTGCTCGCATCCGCACGCCAATAACATCACAGCTTCTCGCAAAATACTTGCACCTGATGTCTTTCTTGCTAGCTGGATAATACGCTTCGGCTTTTCACCATCAAGGCTGAGATCTATTCATAAGTAATTTAGACACGTGGTAGGAAACCACTTCTCGCAATGCGATCAACAGTTACATCACTCCTAATTGTGCAATAGAAAATTCAGCTTTGCAGCAGAATTATTCGAATTTAAGCCGTTGAAGGTCATACTATTTCAGTTTTGGCATAGCAACTATTGGCACAGAAAGCTTTGAGATTTGAACAACCAATTCAATTCTCTTCAAGTTATGCACGGTTAGGGTTGTTCAACAGCTTTCTTGAAAACTTTCATGGTTTAAACGTTGACTCTTTTCAAGCTGCAATCTTTTTTCGAATGATTGTGGTTGTTTATGTTTATAGGAATTGCATATAACTCTCTTGCTTTTGTAGCTTTTTGAAAACTTGTTTAATAATCAGAAAGCCTGTGGTGAGGAAATAGCTGTTTTGCATAGGTCTGTAAAGATCTGAAACAGAATCTTGTACATGATACCTAAGGAGCTACGTAACGTGACAGGCTATAGGATTCGAGTTAAGATTTGAAAGTTGAACTTCAGTTGACAAAAATAATTGTGAAAGCAAAAGCACCTTTTTAGCATTATTTGGTAAAGCTGATGAAAGGCCTCCAGTTTCATTGTAAAGATTTCCGCGATGCCAGTTATTTCTTTGCATCAAGTAATTTAAGAATTCTACACAAACATAAAAAATTTTCAAATCCTTTCAAGCGATGCAGCTAAATTGAATATATGCATTGCTATTGACTTTCTTTGTAGTTTTCTAACATAAAATTGCCTGCATTGATCAACAACAACCAGCTTTTCGGTGCATGCACTGGATGTATGCTGTAATATTCGCATTCAGTCTATCTTTGCAGCTATTCTGCAATTGGTATTGCAATTGCACTAGAAAAGATTAAATTGCTCATGCGTTTATGAAAATATGCTTCATTGTTTCAAGTCTCACTGGTCCATGTTAGCAAACAGTTTGAATTGGGTGTAGGGTGTAAAAAATGCAGAAACGATATTTGTCTGAAAATGAAAGTTGCTTTCACGATGTTAATCCACAAATATTTGTGATATACCTTTGCTGTGATTAGCAAAATAACGTGTTTTTCAACTTCTAAAGCCTAGCTAGATTCAAAGAAAGCAACCCATTTCTTGATCAAGCAGTGACTCCCTTCGTGTTCTTCAGTTTTGAGCGTTGGATGTCTGAACCTGCAAATTTGATTAGCACCTCACGAGTTTTTTCTAGAGATTGATTTCTAGTTCACAAAATTAATGTTATCAAGCTAATGAACTGTGATATTGTATACTTCTCGTGCATAAGGAATGCTAAGTGAACGCTATTGAGCGGCCAGTATGATTAACAGCAGACTTATGCCTCAACATTTAGTCTCTTCTTCGTGAAAGATACTCTTCTGAAATTGGCTGATTGATTAAAATGTATCAGCCTATTGTATTGAGAAAATTCAGCTGTCATACAGCAAGTAAAGAGGTATCAATTTGCAATTATATCTGAACTTAAAATGTTAAGCTTTTCAATAAAGTTCCTTTGCATTGCTCTTGATTTTTTTTGTCGGAATGTTAATGTTGAATCAGCTTTAACTGGAGTAAAGTGCCAATTCAATTCACACAAACCTATCCTCTGAATTTAACCTGCGCTATCTCTTCTGCAGTAAAACCAAGAGTGTTTAAAGTAGACACAAGTTGCTTTTAAAACATTACAAGTAAGGTGTCTGCCTTGAAGAATAGACAAAAGCAAAGACTTCGATTCTGAAGAGAATGAAAATTTGCTTAAGGCTTCGTTCTTTTTCCATTACGCTTTTATCAAGCTCCGCTTTACTCTTAGCACATATTACAAATTCAAAAAATAGACTCAAAAACAAATTTTCAACCGACTGTGTACTCAAGGATATGTAAAAGTAGTGTTTTTTATTTGATAACATTATCTAGCGCTTTTTTGCCATCTAGGGTTTGCCTGTTAAAATCATAGAAAGGCTAATTATCGTCTCTGCTTTGGGGAAAAGGATGATTGAGATGTTGTTTAATGTCTTCAGAAGTTAATCATGCCGGCAGCGACATTTGAAAGATTCTATCCTGTGCTTTTCTGAATATTTGTGAATGAAAACGTATTAGAAAGAAAAGTTTTAAAGACATTCTAAAAGTACAGCAGCTTATTGGATTCGCGAAGGGACAGTAACTTCTGAAAAAATAATATATCTTGGCAATTTTCAAATTTAGTGTTATATGTTTTCTATACGAGTCGGCTGTATCGTGAGACTAGGATGCCCAAGACATCAGCGGACCTGACTTAATTAAAATATGAAAAAGGCAGTGTCAAAATCACTAGAATTCAACCAAAGGAAAAAGACTTTAGCTTGTTCTCCAAAATATGCTCAAGTTTCCTGAACTCATGGGAGATGTAATTTTATCTCCCCGGGAAGATGTGTATCAGTTATCGGCTTTTGGTAGATTATGAGTTGAAATCCATGGTTACAGACCTCACGAGAATGAATTCCTTGCTAAGAAATCATAATAATACCAAATCACAATCGTTTGAGTGAAAGTATTGAAATTGTTCTTATAGGCCAGGTGTTGCGTAATGTTTCACGCTCAGCAGGCGCGTTTCATTAAGTCGTGTTGTTATCTTAAAGGGCAGTAAACTGATTCACATGTTGATAAAACTGTTGCGCACATGCGTGAACATTGGTGCATGCTCGTTTACCAGTCGTTATCTATAAAGTTTGAGACTTTATTATACTCTATGCATCTGATTTCAATACCTTAGCAAAATTCTGTCTGATTATGAAAGTGAAATTACATAAAAATCGGTGATAACCAATAATAACAGAGCATTTTTATATTGTTTTTATAATGCTTACACATCAAAGAATGTGAAACCCAAGGTGATAACTAAGCTTGTTAATTTCTCATCACGTTTTGTTTTTGATATAAATATATACATGAAATCAATAGAGATAATGTGTATTGATGACAGCAATCTCTGGAATAGAATAACTTGAGGCAGAATCTTTTCAAATTCGTGCACTTTGTTTGTTCTTTTTTAAAAAAGTAATATTTTCTAAATTTTTAGGGCAAAGTTTTATACCTCTCTCATAAGATCTTTCGAATGACTCGTTCATATGGGGAAATCGCACCCCGCATTCTGAGAAGGATAGTTAGTCTGTGCCTTGCTCATCTTAGTGTTGTTATGGACTCAAGCGCGGTTAAAGAATTATCACGGTATAGGAGAAATGAAACTTCACTGCATAAACTGTATTGAAGAAACCAAAAGAGCACATTGTTTGGTAAAAACAATTTTGCCTAATGAAGGATGGATTTAAGTTAGAAATGAGATTGAATTCAAGTTCGAAAGAGCAAACTTTACAAGCTGCGAGGATGACGTTTATTTCGAGAAATCTCTACATCAATTTTGAAAAGTTTCCTTTGAAAGGTTAAAAAGAAATTTAATACTTGCAAATGAAAAATGTGTGAAATTTCAATGCTTTGAGTCAAAGTTAAAGAAACATTGCAGGCACATAGTCAATGATCGACAGGAAGCAACTAAAGACAAAAGAAACTGCTGAAGTATCACACCTAATCCCGCTTTCTTTTTTTCTTTTCCCTAGGACGATTTCATAGCTTGAGGGTATTGTCGGCATGATCGAAAAATGCTGTTCTGAAATCTGCTTTTAATGAAATGCATTTTCATTTTAGTTTTTCCAAAATGCTCACAGTAAATAGTCGTCAACTAGCTGAATTGTTGCTTGTGAATGATAAAGAAACATACTTGATTCAAGAAACGCTTTTTGTTAAAGATAGACTAAAAACTAAAATTTTGTTGACACAGAGTCAGTATGACTTCAAATAACAGCCATAGAGCTTTTATTATTTGATTAATTCAGCCAAGTCTTGTGCAGCTTACATGTATGCAAAATTGCCAACGAGCGAAAACCCGTTTTAAAACGCTTTCAAGTTATAAAGCATTTAATTACCTAATTTACTTCTCAATAGTGAACTTGTTTGCTCTACTCCAGCCAAATGTAAATACAATGGTTCGAAATTACAGAGATTTGAGTCAAGAAAGAGTGCCTAATAACGCAAGGTTCAAATTTCTTTCTGAAGTCTAATTAAATTAAAAAATAATCATGAAGGTTCCATGCAAGACTTTGATGAACTTATGCAAATATAACAGGTTTGTTTACGCTGGTCTTACTGCTTATAAACAAAATTTCAGATCAGGATCATTGTGCTCGGCAAACACTGACTTCATGAACTTGACGTGGTTACATAAAAGAGCCTACAAACCATCGTTTTATTTG